TGGAGGACAATAGTCGTGCCTTTCAGCGCCTGCCTATTTACAGTGAAAAGTTACACAAACAGTCAAGTATTTACACAGCCCCTGTTTTACTTTGAGATCCGTCTCTGGCGCTTTTTTCGGTCGACCTTTCGACTCGGCCATCAAAAAGCAGTCGGTGCTGTAAAGAAAACCCTCACAGTCCATCCACGCTAGTTATCAAATTTGCGCCTGAGTTGTCTACCTTCAAAGTCACTAGTCCCTCTTGGCATCAGCCTAGATGTGGACTTCTATTATGCGTGGGTGTTGTACTGCGGTATGAAAGAATGCACAGTTCACCAAAAATGGCCATCGCTAATTGTAGGAACACTGACCTAGGTACAGAGCCGTTTAATAAAGGACAAAGTTTTTCTCACTTTATTGCTGCTTAGCCATCTCTACCTATCTGGGTTCAATCCAGCTGGTGGGTAGGTAAAAGTATAGATTACGTAGACCGCTTTGTAAATAACTTTAGCTGATGTTTCACGACTAGTGCCGTTTCAGTGATGGACAGCACTCCTGCAGGACGTGGAACTGGTATATTTGCCGCAGGTGGGCGTCACTCTCAACCCTTCCGTTGAGGATCGTCACAGGTCCTTCCAGCCGCGGCCTATCCCCTTCTTATTTTACCATAAGTTTTACCATTCAATACTAGGAATTGGGGTAGCCAGGAGGCTAGGCAGAGTCCATAAATCGTTCGTTGCTAAAACCGAGAGTTAAGAGAACAGCTATTATATTAAAAAGGCATGCTAGACAACTTTACGTTGTTTGCACGTAGGCCGAGGCCTTTTTTGGTCAACGTGGTTTCCAAATTTGTAAAAGTTTTTATCTCAAGTGCCAATCATCGGCCTTTCCTAGTATTATTAATAAGAGATTTGGACACCCTCTAAGAATAAAAATAAAAGGCACGCGTTCGTCCTACTTTTAAAGAATAAAGCCAAAGTCGAGTTATTTTCGATAACCTTTTTACTGAGAGTCTTTATATCGTAAGCGCTGGAATGCGTTAATCAACTTCTCGTCAACTTTAATGAGCTCCCTTTCAAGTCTCAATTCTCTAGGACTGACAGCTAACATGACACGGCACAGATGTCTAAACCGATGGGACCCCTCTTGTACTCGTCAGAAAGGCATTATCTTGCATTGGTTGTAGAGTTGCAACATGGGCAAGCACTTTCGAGTTTCACCAATTTGCGTTTTACTTTAAGCAATACAAACATATCCATTCTTCATGTCTGAAATGGTTAATGTCGTGAGATGGAATTGTAAACCTTCGTGTTGTAGCGTCCCGACGTACAGAAGGCCTGGAGGGCTACTGGCATAGCCCAGAGCCCGGGCCGCCCGGTAGAGGTACAATAGCGGAGCTCCTAAGTGGCTCGTTTCCAAAACCGCGAGTTAAAGTTAAACACATGAGATGTTAAAAAGTATCCTAGTTTAACTGTTTACCCATTCACCAAACAATAAATCGACAAAAATGAAGTTCTATACATATATGAACGAAATGTGTGTATCATGTGCTAGCATAAACTTTCAGACAAAACTACTGCACAGCAAATACATGCGATTACACTAATGATCCAGTCAGGTGGTTAGTATTGTGACGGCCGGATTAGTATCACGTAAAACTTGGAGCCAAGTGATTTCTACTGGCGAATACAAGTGGTCAAAAGCTCGCATTCACCTTCTGCGACACTTTGTCCCGACATAATTATTAACCGTTTCTAAAGATCACCGCATTTCCCAACCAACGACCTCCCTTCATATGAGAGATTTCAAACACCTTTATGGAGCACTCAAGGTACTGAACAAGAATATCACCTCTTCCACTCTCTGGCGAGTAGAAGTTGAGATCACGTTAGGTGTACTTCAGAACATGTGAGTCCAGCCAGATGTTATGGATTGGTGAATTTTAGATGCTACAATAAGATGACTTTTTACTGAACCATCACGCAAGTATTTCGCATGGAGATAGTTTTTAGTGAAGAAAATAAGATCACTTTCGTTGATAATTTTGTCAAACTGCCTCAGACTCAAAGTGACAGCGTTGCGCACCATTTCAAAGAGAAATATTAGCACAGTGATTCACTGCGATTCCCGTAGATTAAGTGTCACACTGAAATCCATCATGAATTCATCCTAGATCCATGTTATGTATAAAGTAGAAATGTTGTTACAGCATTTCCAGGTAAGACGATTATTGTAAAAGAAGCATGGTTAAACACTTTACCTCTCACCTATTCACGTCATTTTAATGAGGCGTTTAAAACCGGGGCAGAGGCCACGCTACTCTGCATCTGTAAGTCGGATTGGTAGTTTACTGGTTGGCCGTTTCGTCCATAGCGGCGTCTAACGCTCTACTGAAATGCGGAAAGTAAGACTTCTCATCTATGAGGACATGGATATCGTATGAAGATATTGGAAGCATAAAATGCGTACACTTTGATGCAACAGGATGTGCATTTGGCAAACTCTAATTAGATGCATATTTACTCAAAACTGCTGAGATCCGGCATCAAAAAACTGCCTAAACCTTCAGAGGCAGCGGATGCGTCCGACGCTATTTTAAATAGCGGGAATTTACAAAGGGTTAACGGCACAGTAAGAGAGGTTATGAAAAACTTCGAGCACGGAGTTTAATTACAACTGCAGCCTTTTTGACAAACAATTTAATATGAAAATTGCTGGAGAAATACATGCAACTAGTCACAATTAAATCTGAAATTTACCCTCAAGGCACACATATGCAGACTCTTCTGACCTGACGGACTTTTGTGTCACTGACGGTAGTTAGATTAGCTCATTTGGGTGGGTGGTCTCCATCCCTTTTGATTCAGTAATCACAACTGCTACGTCATCTCACGCTCACGGGATTTAAATGATGGCGCATCCACTGAGATCATTCTTTTGTGCGCCTTCGAGACAGGTGCTGTCAACCCCTTCAGCCTCTAAATACGCCACCACAGAAACCTCGTTGTACAATTCAAGAATGTTGTTCTAATTTTACCAGGAGATATAAAGTGACTTTACTTCAAATAGTACAAGGACGGTGCGTTTGGTTTAAACGACGAAACGGTCTAAATCACCGTACCGGCCATCTTATCTACGCGTAAATACTAGAACCTAGTGACTACATTTGGGTAATCAAAATCACAAAAATCATTCCCCAAAATGAGAGGATATGTAAGTACGCGTGTGAGTAAAATCAGAGTTAAAGTTGGCATAAAAGAGAGAGAAAAATGTAAGTGAGCACACAGTAATACTCCTGGGGAGAGAGGCGCTTTCATTTGATGAGGCGGCGAGGCCCCCGACCGGCGGGTCCTTTAGGACGGGAAAAGAAGAGTGGTGCAGCGGCCTCTTTCGAGTGAAACGTATCCATCAAGAAGGGCGTGGTAAACTCCCTGAAGTCCTCAATTTCCAACTGCGGGAAGCGAACAAAAAGGGCAGAGTGCAGAGAAATATCACTGTGACACGGGAGGTGAATAGCGAGCTACTAATTGTTCTACATTTCAGCAATACCACACAAAGTGGAGTGCTACATTGCATTTGAAGCTAGTTGTGGCTCTTCATTTTAACCTTCTGCTGGCGAATCGATGGATACATTTAGGCTGCAGAGACCTGTTTACTGGCAATTACATCGGTTAACGGTGCTTACAAAGGGGAGAGTCCCACTGAAGCAAATGCAGAGGCGTTCAGGTGAAACAGATGAAAATCAACATGATCACTTTAATTACTACGAGTAAATAAAAGGTATACCTCGTAACAATACGATATGGTAGTAGTCAACAGAGCGAAAAAAGAGGATTACCAAGTGGATTTTTAAAACTGTTTTATCAGTCAATTTCAGCAGCAGCCCAACTACAGTAGACATAACAGGAGCGCAAAGTCAGCAAAGTAACAACCAATCAGGCTGCATTTCGAAGTTGCATATGAATGCCAGTAGCAGGGTTTTCAACAATGCAACCTTCAAACTTGTTATGTTCAGTGGTGAAATTCAAGCTAAGACCCATACAAAAACATAGTTAGAAGTTGGAGAGCTTTTACACTCTTAAAGAGCAGTAAAAGGCAAGCGTTCTTTATCTTGCAGCTTGGAATCTTGACAAAACCCCACACTGAAGAACAGCTATTTTTTGTGATGGCCTCTTGAGCTCCATTGGCTTGAAGCAGATAGGTCAAATTCCGCAGCTTTGTGCGTGTAACTGCAGAATAATGTGAGTATGCAGAATTCTGACAGCATCCACACAATCGCATTTGACTTGACTAATTTGCGATTGACAACGCTTTTTGCAGAATGAAGGAGAATGCCATCTGTTAATGATCGTGTAGGCATTAAAGTGGAGCCGATGCCAATTGATACAGCATTCCACTCTGCACTCCAGCGCAGTTATTACGTGGGTGATTAAAGCAGATCTTCAAAGCTATCACGACGATTAAAAGTACCACCCGTTCGTTCGCTGAGATTGTAGTGGTGAATCGACCAAGCGGAACCTAAAAACCGCTTTAGGGTCAACGACGCAGCTTTTATTACGCAAAAAACGCAGCAGAACGTTTTCAACGACACAGATGCATGTTGCGCGGAAAAAGTGGTGTCATAAAATGACTGCCTTCTCACTTTCTGAGGTCCCTTTTTGAGCCTCAGAGATACAGTTAAGAAAGAAACTGATTAATTTAATCGACACAGAACTTGAAATCACGAGTGCCTTCATCCCTAGCCGAAATGCAGTATATTTAACTTAGAATAAAACAGCGTTGAGTAAATGTACAACTTTGAGAAAATGCGGTATTAGAAGTGACAATGGCATTTTGACTGCATCCGCCTACGTGATAGATTGTTCCTCTCCTCTGATTGAACGGAGTTTCATTCCTTAAATTCGAACATAGGGTTAATTGACTTGACTGCACTGCTACCACACTAATGGTGCACCGTTTGAGCCGCCTAATTATTTGAGATAGGCGCCACACCTACCTACTGTTATATGTTATACCTCCAGACTGCTTACCAATTGACCTACAGCTGCGAGTTAGTTCCTGTAAAGATTATTTTCTGATGCATAATGGCCTTGAGTTAACCATGGTTTCTGTTTTAGAGTAAAAAAATGAAGCAGTTTTTGCTGTAAAATTCGCCCACTTGAACTTTCTAAACACCAAATTTCTACATACTAGGCGTCCTTCGATTAAAAGTGATAGCGGTGGCCCAATAACTATCCTGCGGATAGACGTGAGTTCGGCCATCTAATTACTACGTTTCTAGTATCATACTCCCACAGGTGGATGCCTAACAGGGATATCACTTCTCCAGTTGACCAATTCACAAGTCAGCAACACCATCTACTCTGCAGAACTGCAACTTGTTCCATGATCGACAGTCTCTGTAGTAAGCAGTTTGTGTTTCGTGTGAGGACTAGTTTGAAGATTAGCCTAGTCGCTATTTACTTAAGGCCAGCGTAGAAATTCGCGTGAGACTCCAGGTCAAGCTTGAGTGGGAGCCAACGTACAGGCAAAAAAGTACCATTTTTACCGATGAGAGGGTAAGAAAATAGGGAGAGAGCAGATGCCTACCTTGCTTTGGATGGCAATTCCATACTGACGCGAGAGACAGTCGATTAGATTGCCCTTACAGCTTGAATAGAGCATACGCTCCTTTATAGAACTCTGGTAGCCCGGTATTGTATGGACAAAAACTAGTGGAGAAAGAAGAAGAGGGATGAGACGATCTTAATGGTACGGGATATGCAAGAACCTACTCTAGCATAACCTCATCCACTAAAATGAGTGAAGGACGTAGGGTAACAAATGCCAAGTTTATGAGATGTGGGCAGTATGTTTAAGTAAGTAAAAGCCTCTTAGAAATGATGCGGTAAGAGGGGATAAATAAAGTAATTTGTGATGAAATGTTTAAAATGTGGCTGGTTTTCTTGAAGAACAACGCTTGATCATCATCAGCAGCACACTTTACCTAAACTTGAAAGCCAATTGTCAGTCGTCAATGAGTCAATGTTATTGACGCGGATAACAAACCAAATTTCTTATCAAGTTTATGCCTTAAAAACATTTAACTCAAGAGACTCAGTTTTTGGTCTAGAACTGTGTTGGCCTACTCCGGGCCAACTGTGTGAGACCTGTCCGATCAATTACGAGTGATGAAGAGAGAAGCTTGCAAGTAAGCAGTTAAGAATGCTCAAACTGGGAGATGGACAAATTGCCTTGAGTAACAGCGATCGAATGCACACAGCACAGGGCAATCACAGGAAACCGATTTAAGAACCATCTATCAACCATCCTATTCATCAGACCTCATCAGAAGTTAGCATGCTGCTTAGGAACCATAAAAAAGGCGCTTCTTAACTTCATTACCTCCTTAGGCTACTAAAGCGCAGAATGACAGGGGTTACTGATGAAATGACGAAAACATCGTCTGCTTCGATTAATACACAGCTTTGGAGACTGACTTTTTGACTGAACTTATAAGTCAAATTCGAACACTTTAGGGTGCTATTATCACTACTCGAATCGACTATGCCAAATAAACTAAAAGGATTAATCTAGTTCCTTACAAAATATACAAAAAAGAAGTCAACAAATAAACTGATCCACTAAGGATATCAAGGAATGGTTATAAAACGAACTTACAAATGAGGAACAAATCCACATAAGGAACCAAATCCGACTCCAGCCCCAATTTTTAATCAGTAAGTACGAATGCAAATTTTCTACTCAAGTTTTACAGGCATCCTCTATTCTATTAGCGACTAGATACCGTGAAAAACGTAAAAATACAACCACCGAAAGTGTATATTGACGCACCTATAGGATCGCACTTGGTCCCATCGAATTCGTGTGTAAATCGGAAGAGGTGATAGGAGCCAGCGTTTGGTGGAGTTAGGGCGCCAATTTCCTCCGGCTTCAAGTCTTTCTTCGAAACTGCCACAAAAATACACTCCTGTGGAATGTCAATTTGCTGGAAGAAAAAGTTCTGAGTCACCAAACATCCCAAAAAAACCGTAATTGAAAACTCAGGTGCTGTCAGAAGTCACATGAAGCTAGCTATTCAAGGGATTTACATGATGCAACTGACAGCATGGGACCAGCAGAAATACACTCATAATCGGAAATTAGTAGAAATGGTTGAATAAAAAGCAAGATTTTAAGTACTTCACCACAAATTCCCAGCTATAATACAGGCTTTACAGGTATCCTCACTACTTTTTATCCTACAGTGGTACAACAGTTTCTGTTAAGCAAAAATTTACAATAAACGGTTGGTTTTTTCCTACCAGCTTAACGTTACGCGGTCAAAATTTGGAATTGCAAATGTTGTCAAAAAATCAAGCACCCTGCCTATACGCCGTTTAAATTAAGCACAACAGTCCTGTTCCAAACAAAGTGCTCCAACAAATAAAGCCGTCAAATCATAAATTCTGACCTCCAAACTGGTGTCGAAATCACGTGACCAACTACTGAGAAAAGACAAAAAAAACATACACACGACTTTAGGGTAAAAAGCTATGCGCAGGTAGCGTTCCTTATTTGAACAGAGGGAACTGGGCGTGCCAAATGGGCCGTATATAATTAGCAAAATATGCGCATTACAAATGGTAATAAGTGATAACTTCCTATTTCCATCTATTAAGAATGAATACACTGCTCAGCCACACATTGTTAATAGCAATCGCGTTCTGGAGAACCATAGAATATCATCAAACCAGAAAAATGGAGTTTTGGATAGCGAATAAAAGTGGAAACAAGCAAACTTACGAATTGGAGATAGTTGACCTTCCCAGCAGCAAATTTTTCAACACTTTTTTGGGAAGAACTGGTCAATGCGAATGCAACTCCGCCCATGCTACTATATCCGTCGTTCATCGAAGCATGAATAACGTGACCAGCTGCTGTTTCCTTGGCCTCTTCTTCAGCATGTGTGAGTGGGACGGGGGCCTCCTTAGAAATCAGGTGTTTTCGATACCCAGCCAGGGAAATATCCTCCTGCATAATACGTAAAACCAAAAATTGGTGTATTTACCTCGTCGTGACACAACAAGTCATCAGCAAGGTAACCGTCGCCGAATTGACGTCTGATGGTGGCTCGTGTGGAGGCATAGAGTGTTTTTTGCCAGACATGAGTTTCGTTGGGAATCCAGGTTAGAAGGATCCACTCATAGCCCAGATTGTTCTTCGAATCAAGGCGGTAGAGGATGTAAGAGGCGGTTTTGGAATCCAGCAGGGGAAGAATCGATCTATCAAACTCGTCCTCCCAGCTATCCTTAACTGGAATCATCTTACGCAGTTTGATTTGTTCATCTTCGATTTGCATGTAAACTAGACGAATCGAGCCAAGTTTCGCCTTAGCTAGAGCTGAGAGCAGCTTTTCGTTGGCTGGGCAAGTTAATTAGGGGCATAAAGACGACAAACCTGCAATGCCACTTTGAGCAGCCATTCTTTACTACCTGTAATAGAAATAGAAAACCGACAATAAAAAAAGGCATGAAATAGGCAGTGACACCAAAAAACTTTCCTGTGTGAGAATAAAACAAACTAAACAACACTGGAGATTAGGCACTTAAAGGCACGAGTGGAATCGATGGTAAATCAGAGGCAAAATTATGTAAGAATAAAACCCATAGGAAGAAGATTAGGCAAACAGGTTAGACTGGTCAGATAAAGGCAAACCAGTATTGACATTTCGAATTACTGGCCAATCAGTGGTCAGGCTGGCCCCAATCAATAGATCTTATATTTAGGATCAGGTATGTATTAGAATAAAAAAAATGATCAACCCTGGAAGTCGTCAGAGAAGACGATTCTGCTCACACTTGTTTATTTTGACTATATCTAAATAACTGACTATCTAGGGTGGAAATGGCCTAGAGAAGCTATCAAACCAATTATTGTTTCAAAATAAACCCACTAGGCTGCTGTTATCTTCAGCAAGAATTATTTCCCAAGTTGCACATAATCATTGGGAGGTTTTTCGGCCTTATAGGTGTAGCGCCTCAAGACCTTCAGTAGGGATGAAACAACTGTTATGGGACAGAGGCCAGCCAACTTAGGGAATGTATTATGGAGTATCTGCGTGACCCCTTTATCAAAACCAGGGGTTAGACAAGCAGCTAACGTATTACATTATGTGGAAGTAATTGAGTAAATTTTCCGTATCAGAGGCGGAGAAAGTTCGTCCCACAAATTTATTCTAGCAACGCATTCATTTTCATGTTTCGTCCGGCAGAAATGATAGGTCTGACGAGGCAATCTTTGGTTATGGGTACAATGCGATGGCAGTAGTTTTCCCACGCCCTGTTATCCAGATTATGGAAAAATTGGACAGTTTTTAGATCCTATATATGTGAGTTGCATTTTCTCCACCTCAGATGGCAAGAAGGAATCTAAAGGCAGAGTATGAACATAAAACTTGTTGAAGTTTTCGACGGTTTTTCCTGGGGTAATAATAAAGCATAATGTAATCAAACTAAAAGAATTGCTGAAGGCGTAAAATAATTTTGAGCGTTGGGCCTGTTTTAGTTACTTCAAACACCCCAGATTGTGTTATTCAGTTCAAGTAAGTATTGGACCTTGGATTCTGTTAGAATTCATAGAAGCAGTGTACTGAACCTCCCCACGAATTCGGAAAGAGCAGTTAAATGTTTGTGCCTTTTATCCAATGCCACCGTTATTCATAAAACCATACATTTGGTTGCTTTGTTATTTGTTGTCAAGGTTTTCAATCCAAGTGAAGTAGATTATCTGCCTTGCGTGGTTTTGTCGGCTATATTTTAATTGAAGTCACTAATTACTAACGACTTCATCAATTCGTTGCACACTTTTCCCACTTCCTCTCAATTTATTTTAATTTTCATGATGGACCCTAAGGATAACGGAATTATTGATGCTCGTCGACTTTTATTTTTATTTCTAAAGTCAAACGCACAGCGTCATACATCAGACTTTTCTGTTAAATATTTTGCTACCCAATTTCGCCGGTGCTTTGCGATTCTTACTCCCGTCGCGCGACTCCTTACAGACTTATTACACAATTCGTTTGTTGGTTTTATTAACATGGAAAACAAATCAGAGACTCCTGATCAAAGGTACGTTTAAAGCCATATCTTCGTCTAATTTATTATTTTCAAGTCAAATAGTACAATACCTGAATTATAAGCGCATGGGACACGGTTGCCTACAAGCTGCTGCACAAGTTTCCAACGTAGGAAACGGCCTGGTGTTTTTGGATTTGAGTGGAAATAGGCTGGGAGATGAGGGAATCTGCAATCTTGCAAAGGTTAATTACTGCTGATAAACACATAAGTTTATCTTGGCAAAAAATGAATATCACCATAAAATTTATTGCTGAGCGCTGCCTTTTCATTCTTTAAACCTTCCCTGTTAATAAACAAGAAATAATGGCAATATTACACGACATTTTGCCTACTTTTGTTGCTGTTAATAAGTACATATTTGGGAACGTTACAGATTCTTCGAATAAACAGAACAATCAAGGCAATAAGTTTGAGTAATAATTGCCTGTCAGATATTGGGATTGAAGCACTGTGTGAGGTACTTTGTTGCATTAATTTCAAACTGCATTCGAGCAATTAATTTAGCCTAGTGGCTTTATGATTTTAAGCAAACATTGTATATAGGTTGTGACGGTATTTACCTTAACACCTGAGGAAGTGGCAATGCGAAGATTGCTGAAAATGAAAGTGGTAAGGCGGAGTCCATGCACTTAAAATTTGAACAAAATCAGCGAATTCGGACCCAATATGTGCATAGTTTTTAGACAGCAAAGGTATCCTTGATGCGGTACATGCTCGACTTAGTTTGGAAAACGACACATCTTCGTTGCGTCAAACTGCGGTGAGCAATTTACTGTTTAGGGCCTTATTTTCTTAGGTTACCTTTCAAGCTCGGACATTACCTGGCTTTTTATTTTAAGAGTTCTTATGTTTTCATTGAAGCAAATTGTAGTGGTGAACTTTTCAAATTCATAGGTTAGTGCAGACCGAAAACATCAGAATCCAAAGAAAGGTCCATTAAGAAAAGTAAAAGGTATTCAGGTGGTGATTGCGCGCTTTTGAATCCAAGCCCTTTTTTAGTAAATTATTTATAATAACCTAAGAAAGTCGAGAAAATAAGTGTTAATTACGGTGTTGCCACCTGGTGTGATTGTGTAAAAATTAGTAAAATCAACAACATACCTTATTTAAAGGAGATTTCATTAACCCTCTAGTTTCTTCTGAGTTTCAAATGGGCTTTTTTAACTGATTCCATCGGTTATTTAAAGCACAAAACAAGGGGAAAGAACGACATCAAACCAACAGAAAAGATTCTAAAGTGAATAAATCCCTAATGCCTATTGAGAAGGAGTCGCAAATATCAAAGGTAAACTTGACTTTTGTTTTAAAATATGAACGTTTGCTCTAAAGACACCTACTCTGATTTCAAAAGTACCAATTTCGCCTCAAATTTATGTGTTGTGTTTTTGTACCTAAAGGAGAAAGATTACGCCTCTAGCGATCCTTTATTGGCCAACGAAGAAGGCGAAGGACCCTTCGGAATGCGGATTCGAGGAAATTATCAGTTGGCCATGCTAAATTTATCAAGTAAGCCCTGAGAGATCTAAGTGTAGTTAAATGGTGGGGCACAATCCTTTGAAATTACCTATTAGTAAAAGCATGTCCAAATATTTAATGAATCATGAAAAGTTGGGTAAAACTGAAGTGATTCCTTTGTTTAGGAAATTTAATAACTGATTTCGGAGTAGGTCTGCTATCAAAGGCACTGTCAATACAGACGTCATCGCTCATCGAAGGCAACTTCACCGGTGGCCCAGGTCTCACAGATATTCTGCTAAAGGTAAGCAGATTTTTATGAAAAACAAACGAAATAGAATATCCTAGTAGCCACCAAATCTTTGGTCGTGACACAATATACTATTACAATGAGACTTCTATGATTACAATTAAATCTACTCCTAAATTTGTTTCCTTACATCATGGGCAGGTGGATTCGTTTTTTACGCTGTTAAATTATTGTCTAGGGAAACAAGTTTGACGAGACCGGACGCTTTTACGAGAATCTCCTTGCTGAACTACGGAGAAAAAGAGAATTGTTTGGCAAGCAGCCTTGGAAGACTGATGAAGGCATCAAATCAGAGGCTCAGGGTCAAACAAATTGATAATCTTGCTAAATGTATTCGTGTTCAAGACAAGATTATTTAAAATGTTTGTGGCAAATTCCGCTCGAAGAAAGATGTGAAATTATAGGGGGCAGACGAAAGTGCCTGTTAACTCTGGTGGGAATCTTCACGGTACAAAATTCTTTGGATTATTAAAACAAGTAATTTATTTAGTGAGGACTCATTCCGGTGAACGGATACGTGCTGATAAAATAATGGAGGTTCAGGCCTCATGGGTTTCGCCTATAACAGATTTAAATAACTGTGGGAAGATAGTATCCGGTTCGGAAGAGTTTCTTGTTGTAGTGCACGGAGTCTTTGCTGAAGTAATAAACTAACGTAGTATTGAAGACCACATTAATGAACTACAGGGAGGATAAGATGTTACTAACAGGACTCAAAGACCACACAGATTGATATCACAACCCACAGAGCCCCATGTGCCCGTATAGTCCAACGAACAGTCAAACCGAGTGCGGCATCACTACAGCTTCAGCTGCGTATTTGGATTCGCTTTTACGTTTACAAGTGAACTTCATTAGCAAATTTGCTGCATACTTCCTGTACAAAAATAAGCACACTACCATTATTACGAAATGAGAGCATTTTGATATGGTTTCTGTTCAGACGGACGTAAAATCTTCAAAGTTTGAGTTAATTTCCAGTACCGTTCTTGAAGCTGGAAGAAATTAGCTCATGGTTGATCCTAGCTGAAAATTACTTCGGCCTGTGCTGGTTAATGAAATATCACACCTGGTTCAAGCACATGGTTAAAATTCATGTGACTTGTTGATGTATTTGTAACTGATCTTGTTAAGTACTTGGAGAACTAATAGTAAAAGCGGAACATTCCTTCACAAAATTTTGCATTTTGATCAAATAGTGCCATGAGTCTATTTTTATGGAATAATTACCGACCATGTAATATATTCAAATCAAGTTATTAATATTGTAGGATATTGAGTTGAGAGAAATTCCTCTTTGTCAATCCAGCCTTGACATAGCATCGGACAATTGACTCATATTCTGTCTTTTGAAATCGTGATTAATGTGTTTATAGTCACATTTAACTGCAGCGTTTCTTTAAATTACACGCGGTTTTTTGTATCAGTATGTGCTCTACCGTATTGCTTAAGCCTAGAGAATTTTGGTTTTAAGCAATATCTGTAGCATTTATGCAATATTAAAACGAGTGATTTACTACTGTTGATTCGTGATGGATGCTCGCTTTGTCTCACCTACAGCCTACTCATGCCCAAGAAGAAGACCGGACAGAGGAAGAAGTCAGAAAAGAATAAGATTCGACTTAAAGAGATTCGTCGAAGTCGTTTTAACATTCCCTTAGCCAATCATCCCTGCAATGCCAGCATGGAGTGCGACAAGTGCCAGAAGATGCAGAAGAACCGCGCCTTCTGCTACTTCTGCGGGGCGGTGCAGCGACTGCCGATGTGCGCTCAATGCGGCAAGCAGAAGTGCATTCCGAAGGGTGATTGCGTTGTAAAACACGGCTCTGCGCATGTCACCGGTCTGGCTATGGTGGTGAGCCACTCCGAAACATCTCCCTTGCACCACTTTTGTCAGTTTTTTAGACCTAAGTGATTGACGGATATTTCAGTTTATATTATTTCGCATGGAAATAATATGATTTATACCAGTTAAACATTGCTATCAATCCTTTCAATAGTGTCCGGAGGGCGCTGAGCATGTTCCAAAATCTTTTTTGGTGGGTCGAATGATTATGGCGAAACTTATGCAAACTTAGATAAGTCAGAAATTCGTGTCACCTCCGGTTATTGTCCAAATATGCGCTTGTCATAAACTATTTGCTTAACAGCGTTCCTAATTCTTTCACTTCAAAGCCAATGAAGATCATAGGGAAAAATCACTTGTTTGGCTTTCCTGAAACGTAACCTTGTTAAATTGAGAATAATTTGTTTTAAAGATTTATTTTTAATTTGCCAAGCGCCTATTCTAGTAGGTTATGATTTTTACAGCTATTTTATGTGTGGTTTGTACTATCGCCGTTTTATTTCAAGAATAGAAATGACCTTTTGGGAATGTTTCTCTTTCAGGTAAATAGGCGTAGGGTTAAGGTCCTTTAATAAAACTGAAGTACTATCTACGCAACGGAAAATGTCGTTTGCATCAAATAGGTAAATGAAAACTACCTAGGTACGTAGATTTATATTGTCTAAACAGTATCACATCTTTCATCCATATTTACACCGCTGGTATGTTGCGAATTGGGTCATTATTAACCGGCATTTTGCTTTTCCATAGTGGAAGGCTGCTTTTAGTTTAGTTTTCTTGATGGTTAGCCCGCCAATGTTATGAATTAGCTAATTGTACAACTGGAGAACTGCAAATGTGTCAAGTATTCCTACACATAATGGACTGTGATTTTTGTGAATTACTATAAGTTAAGGTGCAGGAAATGGTTACGGAACCTCAGTACCTTTTTCAAAAGTCATAACATATCTTTTTTTGGAAATAACATTTCCCTTTCCAATGCTTGACCCACAGTATCACTTAAAGGTATTTTTCTTTCTAAAATGTAATCTTCCGGAATGATATGCATTCTTTTTTTCTCGTGAACCATGGTCATCCAAAATCCAGAAGTTGGTCGTTCATTTATTTTGAAGAGTAGCTTGTCCGACTTTCATTTTTAAGGCTTAATTCTATTTCGTACAATTCCATATCGTCTATTTTCGTAGTACATTGAATCTAAACTATTAGGCTTTTTGAAGACTCATTTCAGTCGTTATCAGGAAAAAAAAGGGTGGGGAGGGCAGTTTTCTCGATAGTTGAAATCTGGTTTATTTAGATAGATTCGAGTCATGCTTTTCAGGTCTCTGCTCATTACCTAAAGTAGATTGGATCAGAGCTTGGGAGCATTTGTTACACTACTGTACGAAGGAAGCTGCTTATGGTGTTGTACCAATTGTAGTCCATTTTAACTGAGTGACGTCCACTGCTATGATTATGCTGTGAAGTGCGGACTTAGTTCAAAGTCGCTAATTTTTTCCCTGAACTTGATAATCGACAGAGAAATTGTGTTTAAAACTGATCAAACTGCCAACTTTTGGCTGTTTTATGTAGGCAAAATTCCATCATATCAATATTTAAGAAGTTAGCCTTGCTTGCTGCAGCCGTTCATCCTTATCGTTAATGGTCAAATTCCAATACTTCACCCATTTGAAGTTCCCGGTGTTAGCCCTTAACCAACTCTTGTGCTAACTTAGTGTTATGGCTTTCATTTTGTTATGCCAATGAACGCCTTGAAAAACAAGGTATGCCTTTTGAGGAACCTTCTCACGTACTACAATTAAGTTAAGAATGCAATACTGTCATTTTCAATAGTGGCACTTCAGTTGGGTTTTACCGTTTTAGTGTCCCCATCTCTTCCGAACCACACTTTTTTTACTCCTACTAGGTTGCTACATTAGAAGTTAGTCGACGGTCTTTTGTTTCCAAAATTTTTCATTTTAGATTAGTTTTCGCTGTTGTTTTTTAGCATCCGGATTCTTCGACCACCCAATAAATTGCAAAATTTTCATAGGAAGTTGCAATTGGGAAGCTTTTAGTCATCTGTATAGGGCTTGCTAATCACGTACCCGTTGATGGTAGTGCTATTGTAATGTATTGATGGCAAAATGCTGTTAAAATGTTTCAACGCAGGCGTAAAAACCAGCTTAGCCATAAGAACGCTGTGAAGCGGTGTAGTCTGCCCAACGGCTCTCAGAAGCCTAAAAGTCACATCAAATATGCCAAACAGGGCTCAATCACTTCAAGTGTTCTCCCAAAAAGGTGGGACTGAAGAACCGCTTCACCTCTTTTTTGATTGTCAGAAAGGCTTTAGTAAAATTGATGATAAGGGCCCATCTATATCCTCTTCCCTTGGACTCTGGAGTAATTCTTTTATGCTCAACCTTACACAATTGAATATGGTTGTTTACCCGACCGGTGGTTCTTCTAACGTTCCTCCTTTCACTGTATATTCGGATTTTTACATTTTAACTGGGGGGCCAGCTATTCCAAAAGTAGTTTTCATTTACTGTGGTAGTTGAAAAGACGGTCCCTACTTCCTCAAGTTAGGGGATGAACTCTCTGGTTCCCTCCTCTATTTCATTCCACACTTGAAGTTCATTGAGAGTACCTTAAAATCGACCCCATCTACTTTTATTTGTTGATTTCGTTAGCTTCTAGAAAACTGGAATAAATCTGCAAATAGGAGTGAAGATTGGGTGGTTACTGACTGTCGTTTCTATCAGATGTACAGCCGATAATCGTGTGCACTTCTTTGCCAATTTGCGTGGGAGAGTGGCAGGAGTTGGCGAATAATATCACTTCAAAGGGAAAAACTAACTCATTAAATGCTCATCCCAATGGGAGATAGTTAATTTTAAAAATCAACACCAATCTATAAAGTGTACGCTATTAATTGTGGTTTTGTTCTTTGCTTATCCACTAAAAAGATGGCACCGCAAGGAAGTTTTCAATGCTAACTACATCAACTATTATTAGTCGTCGGAAAGGTTTCAAAACTAGTGGTAGGGTTTGCTATTTTCCTACTCCTCCCCTGTACTTTCCCTACCTACACAGGGCGCAATCTGCGATTTCTGCGAGGCCTGGGTGTGCCACGGACTGACATGCCTGCAGACGCACGCTTGCTCCTGTCCTATGCAGGACTCCATCTGCGTGGAGTGCCACCGTGATATCTCCGAGCATGGTGGCCGCATGTTCACCTGCGCTTTCTGCGCGAAGCACCTCTGTGGTGACGACCAGTTTGAACATCAGGTGCGACAATTCTCCCTTTCCCTCTTACCCTTAACTCTGACTACTTTTGGCCATTTATTGGGAGTCCTTACGAGGCTGTGTATTTTGAATCCGACCAGTTTTGCAAGCCTGTAGATAATTGGAGGGTGGTTTATGATATTTTTTGATTGCAAGTATCGTCATAAGAGCAATCTATTAGGAACAATTAGCTTAAATCATTAACGAAGTATTTGTTGCGATGAGATACTAGAAGCTTCGATTGTTTGCAGTTCTAGGCTTGAAAATAAAACGTGTAAGGGACTTGAACTGAAGTTAAGGTGATTAAGGGCAGTTTGAGGATCGTGTTTTGTCATTACTTCTTTTCCATGTGCCTCCACCTTTCCTCTAGGATTTCGCTTTGACTGCTATTGGTGTTTTTTGTTGCTGCTGGGGTGTGTTACTATCTCTACTGTAACGGCGGGTATTGGTTTCTGAATGTCGTTTGTCGAATCAGTTCAGAAAAGCAACTTAATCTTCAACGTGGACCATTTATGTGGGCGACCAGAGGGAGATGCATCTTTGGCTGCATAATTACGAAAATTTTTACTCCAATCGTATCGGGTTACTTTATAAAAAACGTCAAAATGAAGGGCCGTACATTAAAGAAATGAATTACAATGGAGTGCTTCCAATTAAAACAAACATCCATTTGTCAGAAGAATGCGAGAAGTTTAGCGTTGAATGGTCAACGCTTAATCTGATGCTTTGTTTATTTGCCTGTTGTTGCTTTTGTGAGATCAAAAAGGTGGGTTAGTAATTACGAAACCAAGTTATGTGATGAAACTACTCTAACTTTAAATACTGATGACGTTTTGGTGAGGATAGGCCATAGTTACTGTTTGTTTTTAAGTTAAAAAAACAAAATAGTTAAGTAAAAGAAAAGCTGGTGAAAGGTTGATGCTGTTGGTACAAGGTTTTTCCTAAGTAGGCCTTGTGAAAAACCCTTTTTTGGTAAATACGTACATGTGGCTTCCTTCTAAATAATTACAAAAGCTACCTAAAACGTTTAACTCGTTGAAGAACTCACCATTGAAATGTAGCACTCTTTTGCAACGAAACAAGCTTGTGGTCTACCTCACACGAAACTGGGATAGTCTTCAGGGCATGAAGTGTTGCTCCCAGTTGATGTAGATGTCAACCAATTGCTGCATCACTCCCACCTCGCAACATTACTGGTAGCTGTTCCTGACATGTTAACCTCGAACCTTTATGATCAAGAATAGAGGGAATTACTAAACGTGATGCACCTCTCTTGTTGAGGAGTTTATTACCGTAATCAAACTACTTGTAGAAACCATTTATAGATGGTACGTTCTGCTACCACACCTTCACTAACTGGTGTGTGCCAAAGTTGGTAAGAGGGTCGAATCCTGTTTATCAGGGTTAAACTGCGATTTACGACTTGAGAGTTTAAAGTAACAAGAAGGTAGTGGATATCGTACCGGTTGTGCGTATGTGTGAATTTAATGGACTGCAGACAAAACTATTCACTAGGACCTACTTGCTGAAGACTAAATACTTATGGCTGCGAATACCACCAGTTAAATATGTTCCATTCTAATCGTACGTCTCTTCAGGCCAGCTGCCAGCGCCTAGAATCGGAGACTTTTAAATGCCCTTCCTGTAACCGCATTGGGTCGAACGCCTGCATGCGATGCAAAGCCGTTTTCTGCGACGAACACGCCAAACGCAAGGGCTTCAAGTACGCGCCGGGCCAGCCCATCCCATGTCCAAAGTGCGGTCACCCTCTGGACCAGGCCTTCTGCCTAAGCATTTCAAGTAGGTCTCCACCACACTGTCTAACTATCCTGGAGATTTCAAAGAGGTCGAGTACTTTGTTTCCCGGCAAAACGTACTCATCACTTTAAATTGATCCATATCAAATAGACGTGATGTACTTTTTGGGTTTTATGGAAGCGTTTACCATTACTAAGACCCTAAAAGGAGCTGAGTATTTCATTTTCCATGACGTGGTCAGACGAAGTTTCAACGTTATTGATCGTCTGTTATTAAGGTGCTGGGAGATTATTGGTAATGCTATGAGTGGTTTCATAGATGGTATTATCCAAAGCTCAGTACTTGCTTCCGAAGGTGTTGCAAGGCATATGAACTTGGGAAATAGCTTTATGTGTGGATGGGTTGTAGGACTAGAAACAGAGGTAATTCGAGCAGATCTTCATTCCGCCGGCGTTGAGGCCGATTCGTGGGAAAATGAAAACGTCCACGAGCTTAAAATACCTTTTTACCATTTACCATGTGGAATTTATTTTTGTTGATATAATCTCTTTACGACACGAAGCGTAGAGCGTTGAATAGAGCTGATTGTTTTCAGTGAAGCTCAGTGATATGCTTCTAATATTTCATCTGCTACTGTTAATGGTTGTGGGATTTTTGGCGAAAAGGTTGTTCTTCGTAGTCTAATAAGGGCAACAATAAAAGTTAATTCACCTAGATTTTGTTTCAATCATTACAGTGGTCGTTTATGTCTAGATTTGGATTCCCTACTTCATTTCTTCTGTTATCTTCCAAATTCAAGGTTTTTCATCCACCTCTTATTTGTGTCAGAAAGAAAAGTAAAATACATTTATTTGAAGATGACATTTGAGGTGGTTCGTGCCTCAGGGCCATTGATTCTGCTTTGTGCCATGCCTGTGGGCGTCTCATGGAAGCTGTAACAAAAAGCCGCCTTATTGTCACTTGTTTTACTTCCGTTGGAGCATACTTTACAAACACGGACCTTGTCTGGATGTATCTTCCAGGAGGTTTTGTTCAGGTGAATACTCTATTCAATCGTCGTGAGCGTGGAATCCGCCTAGTTAATAATTTTTTAACTTCTATATCGACTCCACTTACATCACTATTGACTGCGTCCTATTGGTGGTTGATTGCCCCTCTGAATTTGAATATTTCAGATAGTTAAAGTTCCAATCTACTTCATTTTTCGCAAGAATCGACCAAATTTATGGAAGTCTATAGGCAAAATGGCACTTTGCTGATAATCCTGTTTTGTGTAAAGTAAACTCATTTTTTCACAACACCGCTTATTAGGTCACTGAATTTTACTTCCCATTTCTTTGGCTTCCAAAGTCGATTGTCGGTGGGTGGAGTGTTTCATCTGAACCCTTCCCAGATTTTTTTCGCGTTTTGAAGCAACGTCACGGAGTATCTGGGTTAGGTGTAACTAATCAGTGCACTGAACATTTTTCGATGTTTTAAGACAATCCGTTTGGAAATTTCTTCGTGAAAGCGTGCTAAATGAGGAATGAGCTGAAAGCAACTTTGGTGGCAGTGAAATTATTAATCTCTGGCTACACATGAATTAGTTTTAGGATCTCCCGGCACTAGTAAATCATTTGAAACTAATTGACAAGACAAGGAGGCCAGATAGCTTAAGATATCCACATATGGATATGTAAAGTATCAAAGGTGCTGTTACTGAAAAGATTTCAGTGATGTCAAGACTTTCCAAGCTGATCGACACCAATGAAATGAATGGGTTGCATAGAAGATATACGACTTGGGAACCTGTTATTCTTGTATTATCAACTGGTTGCCATCAAATCTGCTTTGTCTATATCGAACTCCTTCCTGCAACTCGACAAAAACCTACTTCGAGCCCCTTTGTCTTTACGGAAGAGGATAAATACTTCACCAGTAAGTCGGTAGTTTAAGCACTCCCCGGTTTAATCACCACACTAGATAAAAACCGGAATGCATAAATTTTACTTTCCTTTGCAGCCAGAGATGAAAATGAATGAGGTGAAACCATCGTAATGTGTTTCTCTCTTTCCTTACAGCTCGACAGTATGCCTTTGGAAGGCAGAGACAGATCCTCGATGAGGAGGGAGAGTGGGGTGACTATAGCGTTTACGATGATGATGACCAAGCCGACGAGGCGTCCTCTGAAGAAGACGAGGAAGGCGAGGACGAAAATAACGTAGTTGCGGCGATGGGCAAAATAGATCTCCATGGTCGCGAGCAGTAGCCCTCTTGGTGCCTTTGTATAAAAATTTGTGGTTCATTACCACTTCCGTGTGTTGGTACAGGGTCTCGTTGTGTTAATCCCTCTGAGTTGCTGTTGGCCGGGTTTCGTCATGTTTGTGACGTGCTTTGCTGTACTTGCACACCGTTCAAACATCAGCTTATTCGTCTTTACCTGCATGTAATCCAATTCCTTCTATTGAGTTGTCAATAAATTGTCAGATCTAGTCAGTTGAACATTCATTGTCGGTTGTGTGTTAGTACCGAAGAATTGTTTTAATTCTCTGAACTGAGTGAAGCATAACAAGGACACATCTTTACATTAATCGCAAGAAGAGCTGAGTATCGGGAATTGCTTGGCAGTTTCACTGATTCGGATTAATCCGTTTTAAGGCCAAGCATCATCACCGAATTCCAGTTGGGCTCTAGTGTGGCCAAAATGGGATCCGTCTTATGAACCACTAGTCCCGATTTTTTTTACCAGGGTTGGCCCTGTGATTCGCAATCCAAGTGCTTTGTTGGTATTTCATGGGTTTATTTGTGCAAAACAGATGTACCTGTATTGATGGAAAGCGAAATTTTCACTTTGCTTGGCTTGATATGTATGAAAGTTAAAAAGTAGCTCCATACCATGCGGTGTAATCTGCCTAAAATGTTATCTTGAGTAATGACTTGTCTGCATTGAACAAAAACAATGTATATTGAATCACGTATAAGTAAGTTCCCCTTATTTACAAGTTTGACTTCGCCTTCATTTTTGTGATATTTTTTTATAAAACTACACTGGCGCCTTAAGCCTTTGTTAGGCTTGCAATAAACTCTACCAATATGAAAGAAAATTTCTTCCTAGCGTGCAGAAGAGCTACGAAGCCGAAAGCATGGCTGGACGACAACTAGCGTCCAGCGAGCCAGAATGTGGAGACCAAAGTAGCCGATGCAGGTAAAGATTCCATTTAGCCTTTGTACTCGCATAAGTACCCTATTCCAATAACCATAACAGCAGAATTTGTAAGCACCTCATAAAAATGTATTTTTTTATTTGATGCTGTTGGATGTTGTTTTAACATTGTTGAGGTCCAGATGCCAAAATATATAGCTGAGTCGATAAGCATTTGAATCTAAATAACGCCAAACTTGAGGCTAATCTACCGGACTTCACGTATTTGCCATCTCGAATGGTGAATTTTATTTAAGCCAATTCAGCTCGAAATAGCCTAGGTAACCAAGCGCCGCACGATTTAAGTTTCCTGCCCGGACTCTCTATTTACGCACTTCATCTCAAAATTAGCACAATATACAACGCCCTTACAAGAAAGCTTCTTTACAAGACATTTGAAATCACCTACACCCCAGCTGATCTGATAGACCTTGCCGTGAATACTTCCTTGGCTAAAGATTTCATCCTTGTGACTTTACTTCCATTGCAGTGGTCGATGTGCTGTTTTGGTGCCTCCTTAATGCAAAGTTGCTGGGCTCAGTGCCACCATGTGTATTATTAACATAAATTTAATTGGTTGCAGACCACAATGCTACATGGGAAGGATCTAAATGGATAAAATTAGCGCAAATTCAATGGTAGTACAATGTATCTAGCAAGAATAAGTGCTTTTTGCATCTAGACCAAAACTAGAGTAAGCTAGCTCTTTACATTCAAAGAGTCTAAAAAGAAAAAGTGAAGTTGCTTTAACAAAAACAAGGGGGAGAAGAAGGAAGAACAAAAGATAGTACTTATTTAAATTGCCGATTCTAGTAAAAATATTGTGTATTTTTTAGGATTTCCTAACTTTCTTATAGCATTTAATGTCTTCAAAACCTTTTTTATCTTGCAAGGTATTTTAAATCCACGGGCTTTGAAATAACCAATGTTTCTTTTGAAATCACTTTCGAGAAAATCCCACTTTAGTCGACTACTATTTTCTGTCCATAATTGCGTGCAATCCAGACTAGTTTCATCTGAATTGATTAGAAACCGTGAGTTGAAGCGAGCTAGTAAGTTGCAAACGGAGGATTAGTTAATGTCAAGCACCGAGAATTCTAAAAGACAAAGCGTTGAGTTATTTTGGATTCTCCCAACAGAAAGTAGTGGCCTTCTGGAGACACCCACCACTAATAGTGACATGAAAAATTGGTAGTTCTATCTCACATAAGCCTCCACAATGACCAAAAATAGCTTAAGAAACGAACCTTGCAAGAAGATGCGTGAGTAATGGAAATATGTCTACGACATCGAGGTATCTAATGCCCTTCATGTTGGTCAATCATATGAGCTAGATTGGAAATCAAGAAAGTAGGGGCCAAGAATCCCTTTCACTATTGGTCCCAGCATTTAATCGTGTTGCGAACTATTCACTTGTGATGTACGTCGGTGTCTCAACTGCAGGCTATTCACTGCTTCTCACTGCCTGACTCCTCTCAATACCAGAAAAAGTGAATGCAATTAGCCAAGTAATGCACCGTAATGAAAGTGCGCACACATAAAAAAGGTAAAGAAAATAATGTCTAAAATTTGTGATAAAATAAAGCAAATGGTTGTGATTTTCTGGTGGTCTAATAGCACTGTTGTGTTCAAAGAATTGCGCCATGGGGTGTAAGGATAAGCACTATAGAACTTTTCTCCTCCTCTAATTATCAACATTAATAAACCCCCATAAAAGCCATAACTATGAACAGTGACCTCCAGAACGTACGGTAGACTTTTTAATGAATGCGTCTAATCCCTGTGTATAATGGTAAACCGCGCTTTGGGCGAGGGCGCGCTGTAGCTAAGGCAATGGCTAGAAAACGGGTTAAAGTACGGACATTGTAAGTCTTTATGTCAATATATATTACAAAGGGGATGCAGCAATTTGAAAGTGCAAGCGAGTGAAAAAAACATTACTGTTGTGATGGCTTCTTTGTATTAGTATTCGGCACTCAGATGAGTCCAGCCATGGCAAGCAGACATTTGGTAAAATAAAATGAGATACAAATGAATGCTTCTAGGACCAACTTCCGTTAAACCCACTGAAAAAGACGCTAAAAGTAACCTCATAACTTCATCCATTTGTTCTAAAGATGAGTTTTGAAGACGTTTAATGTTCCGTTTACAAAATATCCCTAAGGTGGATTTAAAAACAATTTTCAACGGCTTTATTAAAAGTGTGACGTATACCGCCTTGCCTACAAACATTCGACAGTGCAAATAATAGTGCGCAACGCCGAATATTAAAAAGGTTATTTGTTTACTTAACTCTCCTTTTCCGTGGAGGGGCCACTTTGGGTCCCCATCATTGCATCCTAAGTCGAGTGGACTGGCCTCCAGGCCACACCAGTAGCCCCAAACCCTACTGCATGTCGATTGCACCTATGCTCTCGCAGAATTATGTCTTCTTTCGGCTTCAGAGAAGACTCGCTGCACTACATCGGTGGCAGCGGAAAGCAAACCCCACTCCATAACACATCTATCCTAGTTCCTACTACTAGATAATAAGCCTCAACGAGACGGAAGAGGTGCACGCCCTACGGATAGGAGGATGGATGACGACTCACAACAGAGGGGCTAAAAATGACGTCTACCTTTGGCAACTTCCCCAGTGCCATGTTCTGCAGGTAAGTTAATATAACAATGGAAGCAACACTAGCCATGATCCATCTGGAGAAGATCGTTACGGAGTTGTCAACCGTATCTACGTAAAAATACCAAATGTGTAAAAAAACGCGACACCTCCTCTACTTCTCTACTAGCTGCATAGGATCCAGATCCGAAGGAATTGCCAGGAGGCATCATTGATGTCGTGGTTAGTTATCGCCCCATTTAGATGGAGATTTAATGAGTGGCATGTTTGGCTTGTGGGTGCTTCTTTATTTTAGCGATTATGTTGTAGTAGCTGGCCCAAGAGGTTGACAAATGGGATCTGCGGAGACAATCCTCAATAGAAAAGAGAGGCTATGTAGTACTTTGGCTGTTTCACTCCCGGTTTAGGTAACGGCCCACTGAGGGTGTCCGCCGTTGTGCCTTTGCTGGGTGGGCTGGCCTCCGCACCATGACAGTAGGTACAATCCCTACTTCATGTCGAATATACATATTCTGCCCTAATATTATGCCATCTTTCGACCTCAGGGAAGTCTTGATGAACTCGAAGTATGTATCGCAATAGTAAAATCTAAAATGAATGTTTTAATAAAACTTCAAAAATAAATTAGCCAACTTATTTAAAACTTTTTTAGCATTCCTAACATTTAAATCTCTTCCCCTCTCTAAGAAAATTGCCAAAAATTTACGCCTAAATTCCCAAGGAAATGCGATATTTAGTAATTGGTTGACTTACTACTATGGTCCTCAAAAACATGGCAATTTGAATAGCGGTGACAAGAGAATGTTTATCGCATTGTTGGGATTTAACCAACCTCTCTTCTAGGGAAATGGCACAAGCTGTGCTAACAAGTAGGAAATTTTGACTTGCTACCATGAACGGCCTAAAACGTTCTGTGATAATGCCTTTATTAGAAATTGAGTTTACAATGCCTGTACAAACAGGTGAGTCAATTTTCGGTCAAAAGGACTGGTGAAACGCTTTGAAGGAAATTGTTTGTCCGAACAACTCAATACCAAATTCAGGCAACGACAAAGCGGTGAAGATTGCACTAGTGGTGTACAGGAATTTGCCCTTTCCCAGCACTGAGGACCTGAAATGTCACATCGCGTCGACGGCAGACAAACGCTTTTATACATTCAATGCAAAGTGCAGTAGTTGATTTCACGCAACACAAGTAAAAGCAAACAACACACCACCTTGATGAGCAGCCTTTGCGTGTGCTGCTAAACTAGATCTCTTCAAAATTCGATGGCAGTTCAGTAGGTAAGTATTTTGTATCTACAATCCAAAATGATTCAAATAAGCGGCTCTCATCCATAGATTTGGCTAATAATTGCGTAAATAATACAAGCAGTAGTTCTTCCTTCTCGTGGGCTGAAAAAAGGGCCAAACGATGATTCAGTAAGTCAGAGTTATAGTAAAGCATAAAGGGCTATAATGTAAAAAACTGCACTAATTCCTCTTGAACTCAAAACCTTGCTTTGACATCAACTTGACGTCAGCAAATATCACCCTAGTTTGTTGTTACCTCACCTGATTGATAAAATCATTCCATGGTTAAGTAATGTTGTTTTATTAGCAAGAGAACCTTATTATTTTGTTCCTTTTGAGGCTATTCTATTTAAAAGAAACGCTTATATGCATTCATCACACCTAAGCAACGCCTCTCAAAAGTGGAACGGTGGCGAGTATCTCCTAAATATTGGATCAACATAACCAAAAACCTACCCACTTAGAACAGATTTGTACAATAAGTGAGGCGTAAAAGTGACATGTTTTGCAGTCTATTATCACACCATTCTCACATATTGCAAAAGGCATCTTCTGTTGTGCGGCAATAGGATCCCACCTGGCTACGCATACATGGACAGTACGAGAGCATGAAACACGCTGTTTGTTTCACTGTAATTAAGCAGAACGTGTACCCACCTCCGTAAGAAATCACCCTACGTTGTGATAGGTAAGCACATAGGGCAAACCTCCTTCCGTATCTGTGGAACTGGATTGGGTCTTGATCTAGCAGTTTGCAATACATCAAGTGAGTGAAGAACAATCGTTTTTTTCTTTATATTGTTAATACACGAATACTCAAATAGAGCATTTAACGGACAGAATTGAAATATTCGACTTTTTCTAGAGGCTATATTTCAGTCGTTCATATTGACAAACGCGTATAAAGGTGGAATGCAATAGCTAAGATAACGCAAGGGTAAACAACTGCAAGTTTGCCAATAATTACTAGAAGGCCAAAGGTCACGGTCAATCTGTTGTGCCCATCACGCACGACTGAATTCACTGACTCGGACTGAGACACGAACTAGGACTCGGGCTCGGATCCTAACCGCAAAATGTGCCGAATTGTTGTTGTCAGGCCAACCACCTTCAAGATACTCGTCTGGTATTGTCATTCATTTGATTAAAGTATGGGAATGGGGAGGGTGAGGTTGTGGAAGGGTCAGTGTAATTGTCCGTGAAATAGAAAAATTTTTTGTGAAACTGGGTAAAAATAAGTAAACAATTGAAGTGCCTGTTCTGTGAACCCACGAACTTTGGCAACGAAAATAATTAAAATAATGAAATTTGGGAAGGGGCAGGAGGAAGCTAATATAATGCAATTCATATAAGTCAGATGCATGTAAAGATGGCATTTGGAAACTTAGCACCCGGAACTACCACCTTGTAAGCACCGCTAATGTACCTCGACAACAAAGTTAATGCACGTGTTTTGGCTCTACCGTCCCCGCACCCTATTCAAATCGCTTAAAATTGGTGGCGTTGCCTGCAGCCCCAGAAAAATGTTCCTGTTCCTAACAATTTCTGAACATTCCAGAGCGTCATGCTACTTGCCCACTGACGACTCCCTTAGGGCTAAGGTCAATCGGTCACAAGCAGCACTCGTAACTGAAACCGCCGAGATACACCCATTCAGGCATTCAAGTATTTCCCCCCTTTTGCTTTAACTTTGCCCTAAAGTATACGGCAAAGCCTCTTCCATTGTTAAACGACTTTGCTGAGCCAAGATATTCAACTCGTCATCAAGTTAGCTTTAGGCACTCATAATGGCAAAATTCAAAAGCGAAGTTGTATGAATTCTCAGAAACCGAATTTCAGAATCATAGGTGTTTATGTTATCAAGATACAAAATCCCATCTTACGAAGTTATGGGATGTAAGAAGGCCGGAATAAAATTGAATTCAAGTCAGTTTGAGCGACGCTGAATTACAATATTCCTACACAATGACACACCGAGAATAAGACATCAACTGGTGTTTAGTTGTGTGAGGGTAGATACTGTTGAGACCCTAGCCAGCATAACCAAAGCATAAAACCTCGAGAAAACGGAGACTTCAGTGTCAATGTAAGCACAACCAAATCTCGGAGCTGGCACACACACCCTCTGGCTGAAATGCTAAGTTATGGATCGGCACCGTTTTCGGGTATTTATAGTACTTGGATTGGCTGTGGCCTTAATGGGGATATTTGTGCACTCAAAGGGCAGCTATGTGAATATTGTTTAATCAGGGAGGAGTCGAAGCGGTCTCGAACTATGAAATAATTTAAAAAGTTCAGGAAGTTGACCTTGTATCAAATTCTAAGGTTCAGAAACAGAAACGCTGTTTCCAGGATCGCAGGCATCCTCAACATCTCTCGTTAATAAAATCAGCAATGGCGTTTTTAAGGACCCACTCTTCACTCGCCCTTAGAATTGCCGTCTGAATACAGTGGAGGGCTCAACCTAGACCTTTTTCTCCATGGTTTTCTGCAAAGCAGAGTCCAAAGGTCTAAGAGGTACCTAAAAGGTGTCCAACAGTACATCCGTCGGTAGAGCACCATACTGCGTTTCAGGGTCCTCATTGTGTCACACACTCATCTGGGTGCAATGTCTCTTGCGGATGTAGTTCCCGATTCTGACGTTGATTGTGACTTTTCATCTTTGTGTGAAATCCTTCCAGGGATCAGCCAAAGCGAGCGAAGCTTACTTCCGATTAAGTCTTTGGCTGGTGATTGTCATTTTCGTACAGAGTTATTCGGTGCTGTCCAAGGTGTGAGTGGAAACATTTGTAAGGCAACAGTACTCGTGTTTTCCCCTAGTGGCTTGTCTGTTATATTGTCAATGAATTGACAGGGAGTGACTATCCTCAACGGCACTCCATTGTTGTTGGCTACAATCACAGGCCACTACGAAGAGGCACCCATTAGACCGAGGTAAGAGGTTGAAGCCATGGTGACTGGTATTAAATTTGTGAAGTACCCTCGAACGTAGCGAAGCAGGCAAAGCAACACGATAACCACTCATTAGGCGACCTTGGAAGTTGCAAAAAAAATTATGGGGATAGAATAGCGGTTTGAAGTCGTTTATGGGTAAGCAAAGGCTGCCACTTATTCCTGACGAAACACATGGTCTACGCCAACACGTTGTTGGACCCGTCGCGGAAGCGGATGGTTTGGATAAAGTGGGAATCTGAGACGACCTTATTGACGATTGCCGCTGACTATTTCCGGGTGCTCCAACTGAGCGTGTTTAATTGTGAGTGTCTTAAAATCATTACCTGACCCAGATCCAGCTCGAGCAAGTCAGAACTAAGTAGGTTGAGGATGCCCTTTGTGATGTATCACCTTCGGGGGAATGTTGTATCATTTTATGATACACAGAACCAGAGTTCTCAAGAAAGTTTCATTTGGCCACACCTGTACAGGTGACGACTCGAATGTTATGGTGGATTTTGTAGTTTGCCGCTTTGATTCCGCAGCTTCTCTAATTTGATAGTGACGTCTGAGGCAGTATCCAGATGTAGTGGCTCCGGATAGCCACTGAGACGGAAGTTGATGTACCTTAGGCAAAGAAGCGCGTTGGGTTGGAAAACTGTCCGCTTTGCAAGCTTTCCTTAGCTTCCATTAAGTTCGTTTTTTGTGCTTATTGGCGTCTGTACTGGGACTCGATGGGACATCTTTGCGCTCTTTATTGTTGGATTGGCGGCATCGGTGGTGTCTGTGGAGACAGAACGTGGCAAAATGCCAGGCGTCGTAGTGAGAGTGGGAGGGGTGAGGTATTTTCTTGTTATTGATATCAAAATGTTGGCTGTTGAGAAATCGGGTAGATTTAGACGACCCAAACCTCCGTGGAATGGATTGGTCAAGTTGATGCACAACGTAGACATGGAAACTGTCAATCTTCAGAATGAGCCAAAGTAGTGTCATGCTTGAGGTTAACTAAGCGTTGGTGCTCCTCTGTTGCTATTCGAGGGCCGCAGGGCAATCCTACTCGATGATATTCAGGAGAGGTGTTCAGGTGTCTAGATTAGTAGACGAACATGAGTTCCAGACGGAGATGGCGCATTCAGAGTGATTGTCAGCCACTTCTTTCAATTTGAATAGTTTGCACTAACGATTGTCCTTACCTGACCTTTCTTTAATCTTGTGTGATTGTTGTCCTTTTCATAAATGCGACATGGAATTACACTTTTCAGATAAAAAGGAGAACATGACATGTTAATTCTCTGAAGAGGGTATAAATAATTCCGTGGACAATTAGTAAAATCAGGTTAAATAGTTCGCTTGAAAAGGGTTCCATGTCGGGCGTAAATACCAAAAACACTTCGTCAGTGTAACTTTTTCCACAAATTCGCCCGCCAGTACGCTTAGTAGTCTTTTGGTTTTTTGTTGATTACCATCTTCTATGCTTAGAAACGAAGGGTGTAAGGATTCGAGAGCTTATTGAGTTTTGGACAACCATTTTGCAATTTATCCACCCAGAGCTGGGGTTAAAAATCTTTTGGCAAATTTAAAACAAACCGATCCACGCTGATCTGATAGTTCTGCTTTAGGTACATTGTTTACTTGTCTTACGGACAGGCAAAACAACGAACGGGAGATTCGCGCAGGCATCATTGCAGATCTGCACGATCGGTGACGCAGCTTCTCCCGGCAGCGATTGGCTACATGTTGGCCAATCAACAGAGAGCATTTTTTAATAGTGACTCTCAATGCCGTGTAGTGTTTCTGCCTTAAAGACAAGGTAGGACAAAGCAGCGCAGTTATCGCGACCTGTTAGTAAGTCATACGTGAAGCGGGCGCATTACCTCCTAACCACCGTAAGTTGGTAGACTTCTTTGACTTTTTTGTTGACTACGAACTATGGAATTGCCGAATTTTGGAGTCCACCAACACCACCGATTTGTGTTCTAAATACAAATGTTTCTTGAATTCTTAAATTCATCTCTAACATTTTTTTAGTGCAAGAGTGAGTAAAAATGCCCTGGGTTGCATTTGACATCATATATTTGATCACGTAACGTATGAATTTGTGTGAAATTCTGATTTAATATCCATAACATGTAACAGAAAATCTTCATAAGCTTTGGTTAAGAATGTGTGAATTGTAAATTAATAGCTTATTTGAATTTTTACAAATCACGAATAACTTTCCAAATAATACTGTACTACAAAAACTAAGGACGATTTTTGTATCTAATGAGACATGAATGGTTAATTTTCCATTAAAAATTAAAGTGAGGTAACTTAACTTCAAGAAATAATTGCAGAATTTTGGCACAAAATCAGAAGTGACAAAATATCCCTGCACTACCCTTTTGAGGTGCTGTTTGGTCAATGTACTGATTACACTTGTAATTTACTGTAAATAAGTGACTTTAGGTGGAAAATAGTAATGAATGAATTGTTGCCCGTACACTTGATTCTGATTTCAGAATATGGCTGAAGGTAGTCGTAAAATTTATTCAAAGGCAATGAAAAGTTAATGGGCCGCAAGCATTAAAATGCGCTCCATTATGGCATCAGATGAAAGAGAATTTTGTGTAGCGCTATAGCTGTGGAGACTTTATGCAAAAAACTTGAACTTTCATCCATTGCCATTTGGGCTATCTACCGCTCTCCGTTGACAACATTGCAAGCCGAATTCAGTAAATTTTTAATTTTAACCAGTTGCAACTGCGTGCATAACGATGAATTTATTCGTTAAGTACATAGAAAAACAAATCAACTTAAAATCTTAGTAATAAATAG